CTCTTAGCTGATAAGATACTACAGCCTGCAAGCAACTTGCATTCAGTACAGACAACAACTCTTTTCTCAGGACAAATGACTAAAAAGCAAGACTTTCTCAGTAATACACCAGAGAACTTCATTTGTTCTTAACTACACGCTTTTCTTCCCCCTTCCTTCCTCCTACTGACAACTTGCTCACTTCTATACAGCAACAACAGGTAAAATTTAACAAAAAAAAAAAACAGCGCTAAGATTTGGCTCTGAAACAGTTGGTTAATTTTTCTTCATATTAATGGAGTTTCACTGTACTAAGTTTCATTTTAAGCACTCCAGGGCTGCTGAAGGGACAGACGACTTTTAGTTCCATCTTTTCTGAAGCTCTGCTTCATAAAGTCCATGCTGTGAGTTAAAATACAAATGGATTCTTACTAAATTCAAACTGCTCGTAGTCATCATTTCACCCTGTGCAACTCTCGTTCTTGCTCACATCCCACAGTTAACTTATCAGATATGGTTTAGTGGGTGATATCAGTGGGAGGGGGATGGTTGGACCAGATGATCTTGGAGGGCTTTTCCAACCTTAATGATTCTATGAAAACGTACCAAATAAGGATGGTAGATCTGCCACATGCTTGCATCAAAAAAAAGGGGGGGTGGCATACACGACTTTATTGAGGGGCTCCAGACAACTGCACTCAGAAACCTGTAGAAAATTACTGCAGCCAGCCTCAGACATGGATGTGCCACGGTCATCGATGTACCCATCTGGGGAATATATTTTGGAGAGGTCCCAATAAGACTTGTTTATAAAATTAGCTCCATTGTCCCCCTTCCTCCCCTCCCACTCCCCCCCCAAATAAAAATAAAATAAATAAATAAATAAATAAACCTCTTGTCAATAGCTTGGATACATGAGAATTTTGTTTTCCTCCTGATATTTCAAGCCATTTATTGCAACAAGTCAATGAAGTGCTAAACTACATTGGCACGTACTGTTAGCTTCTTTATTTGAACAAAGCTATTAAACACTAGGTTAATACAAAAACTTGCTCATGCTTATCAACCTGCGATCTGTTTACAAGACAAATGGTAAACCTCTTAACTGAATCATGAAATGGCTGAGGTTGGAAGGGACCTCTGGAGGTCACCTGGTCCAACCCCCACCCCGCTCAAGCAGGGCCATATCCAGATGGCTTTTGAATATACCCAGGGAGGTAAGCTTCAAAACCTCACTAAGCAACCTGTGCCAGTGCTCAGTCACCTTCATAGTTAAACACACACACACAAAAAAAAAAAAAAAGCATTTTGTGATGTTGAAAGGGAACATTCTGCATTTCAGTTTGTGTCTTTGTGTCCATTGCCTGTTGTCCTGTCACTGGGCACCAATGAAAAAAGGCTGACCCTTGCACCCTCCCTTCAGGGATTTACATGCATTTATGAGATCCCCTCTGAGCCTCCTCCTCTAGGCTAAACAGCCCCAGCTCTCTCAGCCTCTTCTCAGAAAAGAGGTGCTGAAGCCCATCACCTCTGTGGCCCTACGCTGGACTCTTCCCAGTATGGTCGTGGCTCTCTTGTACTGGAGAGCTGAGCACTGCAAACAGTACAACAGGTGTGCCCTCACCAGTGAGGAGCAGAGGGGAAGGATCACCTCCCTCAACCTGATGACAATACTTCACATAACGCAGCCCGGGATACTGTTAACCTTCTTTGCGAACAGCAAGGGCACATTGCTGACTCACATAAAATTTGATGTCCACCAGGACACCCAGAGGTTTTTTCTGGTAAGCTGCCTTCCGGATGGGTGGCCACCAGCACATGCTGGTCCATGGGGTTGTTCCTCCCCATGCAGGACTTTGCACTTCCCCTTGTTGAACCTCATGAGGTTTCTGTCAGCCCCTTTCTCCAGCCTCTCCAGATGGCAGAATGACCCACTGGTGAATCAGACACTCCTCACAGTTTTGTGTCATATGCAAACTGGCGGAAGGCACACTTTGCCCCATCATCCAGATTATTAATAAGATGTTGAACAGGATGCTGTGGTTTAACCCTGGCCGGCAAATAAGCACCACGGAGCCATTTGCTCACCCTTCCCTCTCAGTGGGTTGGGGGTAAGAACTGGGGGCAAAAAAAAGCAAAAGCTTGTGGTTTGAGATAAAGACAGTTTAATAGGACAGAAAAGGAAGAGAAATAATAATGATGATAGTAGTAATAATAATATGTACAAAACAGGGGAGGTACAATGCAATTGCTCACCATCCACTGACTGATGCCCATCCCTTCTACAAGCAGTGGTCTGACCCCACCCCAGCCATCCACCTCATATTAATTAACATCAGCCCATTATCAACATTATTCTCATCCTAAATGAGAAACACAGCAGCATACTAGCTACTAGGAAGAAAATTAACTCAATCCTAGCCAAAACCAGTACACAGGACTCAACCTAGTACTGGCCCTGAGGGCTCTCCACTCATTAGTGGCAAACAGCTAGACATTGCACCACTGACCACTACCTTCCAGGCTCAGCCATTCAGTCAGGTTTTGATCCACCTCACTGTCTGGCCATCCAGACCATATTTCAACAGCTCTTCTATGCTAAACATCTATGAGGATCCAGTGAGGAAAAGCATCAATGGCCTTACCGAAGTCCAAGTAGACAATATCCACTGCTCTCTCCTCAATTGCCCGGACTGTAGAAGTTTGTTGCATTGATCAAGCATGACTTCCCCTTTGTTGAATTCATGCTGACTACTCCTGATAATTTTCTTGTCTTTCATGTGCCTGGAAATGGTTTCCAGGATTAGCTGTTCTATTATCTTCCCAGGGCTCAAGGTGAGGCTGACCAGCCTGTATTTCCCTGAGTCTGCCTTCCTGCCCTTACTGAAGATAGGAGTGACATTCACTTTCCTCCAGTCCAGTTTGAGTAAGCATTTCCTGAACTGATCTTCTTCCACCAAGGGAAACTTTCTTGCTCCAGCTTTTTCCCCTCATCTCTAGGACCTGAGATTCCTGAAGGCTCATCTTGCTAGTAAAGATTGAGGCAACGAAGGCATTCCATCATCCTTTTCCATGCCTTGGGTAACCTGGTCCCCGTTTCATTCAGCAATGAGCCCACATCTACCTTAGTCTTCCTTTTGTCACCTATGTAACTCCAGAAGACCTTCTTCATCTTTAACATCCTTGACCAGATTCAATTCCATTTGTGTTTTAGCTTTCCTAACTGCATCCCTGGATGCTCAGACAAAATTCCTGTATTCCTCCTTGGAAAGGAGGAATGTTTGCTTCAACCCTCTGCGTGTTTCCTTTTTGTGATTGAGTTTGGCCAGGAATAATTTCTTGATCTACATAGACATTTGTGCCTTACTTCCCCCATTTGTTGGGATGGACTGCTCTTGGGCCCCTCTTCCCTCCACACCCTTATCCCATGGGACTCTTCCCAGCAGATCCCTGAAGAGGCCAAAGTATACTCTCTTGAAGTCCAGAGTTGTGAGCTTGCTTTTCATCTTCGTCCCTGCCCTCAGTATCCTGAACTCCAACAATTCATTGTCACTGTAACCAAGGCTGCCTTTGACCTTCATATTCCCAATAAGGTTCTCCTTTGTTGGTAAGAATGAGGTCCAGAAGAGCAGAACAGTAGGTAAGGACGCTGATATGGCTTTTCTGAATTTGAGTCTTCTAGCTCTGGGCTATAAGGACTCAAATCCACAGCAACCTGGCAAACATTTTTTTTTATTCCCACCCCAAAGGCCCCTCCCTTCAAAAGTATAGTTCTTTCCTGGTACACTAACAATGAACCTGATTAAGAGGGTCTTAATACAATTCCTCTACTAAAGCAGGCTTCTTTCTAACAATGCTATCAATTTCTGCTAAGATTAAAACAACTAAATCCTAAGAACTTTGGGACCAACCTCCAGAAGGAGGGAAGACATTAAAGAAGTGAATACTCTGGAGTGGCAACTGCCACTTCTCTGACAAATGTAGTGCTGAACAACTGAGGTATTTTACATTTAATTGTTCATCTGCAGATCTGTAACTTAGTTCAGCATTGCATGTAGAAGGAAAAGCCTACATTCCTTCCACATTCAAGCCTCCCATCTCCTTCTCTATCCTTCAGAGGAGTCCATTTAGAACTGGGAGATAGTGCTAATACCACTAAGCAAAAAGAGTAACTACACTTCAGATGAATAGACAAAAGCATCCTCGTACTAGGAGGTAAACCATGCATGCAGAAAGCAGAGAAACTGTTTAACGACAGTTGAACAGACTAAATCAGTACAGGGAATTAAGACCCCCCTAACCCTCAACAGCTTACAGAAACGACCTACTGAGCTTTCCCATTATTTACTTCTGCCTAAGGTCTTTCCCACAGGTATCCCATGGAGAAGAGGCAAGTATGTTCAATTCTACAAAAGAAGGTAGAAGAGTGAGGGAAAACAGCAGTTAGGAGTGGGCAACAACACCAGAGACAGCTGTGTCTCTAGTTTCTCAATCAGGATAAGCATCTCTTCATTGTTACTCTGAGTGATTAGACTGAAGGACTAAGGATTACGCAGAGCATAACGGAACTAGAAAAATTACGAAAAAAAAAACAGATGGCTGCTCTTGTGAATTTTAGCAAATTAATGCAGAGAAAAACCTTCATGCCTCAGTGACTCTGGGTCACTTTCTCTTTCTCTGTTGGAGGCTGAATTCCAGAGGCATCTGTCACACACTGTGCACACATCACTCACTCACATGCTCTTAAGTGCCTGCACAGGCATTGGCTTATTCTGGAACCTGCCTGCCTAGCACAGTAATAAAAGCACATAATTATACATGTCCAGCTACATACTACAGCTCCCTCCTCCCAAAAAACAGGGCACAGTATTGTACAAAGGAAGGAAGGAAGTCAAGGTAACGATTATATTTAGTCCAGGGGGAATTCCAGAATCATGGATTCTTATAAACTTTAACATTAATATAAACTAATTTATTTTATACAACAAGAAACTAAACAGATAACATCATATGTTACTCACCCCTGCACGAAATGCCTCGGCTATCAATTACTTGTTTGCAGATTCCACAAATTTTGAATTTCTTAAAGGACTTTTTTTTGAAGGTATGAGACCTTGATGCTGTTTCTTGAGGCTGAAAGCAAGGGGAATATAATGTCAGACTTCCCTCAGTTTTTCAGTAAATGAAAAGTAGCAGTAGAATATCACTAGTAGTATAAAAGTAGTATCAAAGTGTGTTCTCCACTTCCTCTCTTTCACAAGCTTTCTCTTCTCAAGTGTGAGAAGCAACACGTGAGAAACCTATCACATACCAGTGCAAAGACACTGCAACACATTTTATGTCTTAACTCTCTATGACAATCTTCTACGAAGAAATGCAGAATAATCTCGATGAACAGCCTTCATGTATATAAGACTTTAGGTCAGAAAAGTTGTATTGTTTCAGTTTAAATTGGTTAAAAACAAGTGATGCACAATGCACATGGTGCAGTGGTTATCATGGTAACCAACGAAATTTACATTGGTGCAGGAGAGTTTGCACTTTTCATACAATAAATAAAACAAGAAGCATCTATGCAAGCTTGATTTCAGCACAGATTATTAACTTTAAAATTAATTTTGCTTCTTTCCTGCGTAAGAAAAGTATGCTAGCTTAAAATTACATCATTTACATAGTGTGTCAGAGTAACTGAAATATATTAAAATATAACAATGAAATCTCTAACTGGAAAGAGAACAGCAAAAGTTAATACCATATATGCTACCAGTGTCATATGGCTTCTACTATCTATGAAACATTTAGGTAACACATTAGAGGAGGATATCAAAGTCTGAAACTGAGTCAGTGCCTCCTCTGGAAGGATGTAACAACCTTTAGTTGCATTGGAGACTTCTAGAAAATGACATTAATTTTGGAACTGAAGCATAATTAACCTTCCTGGTTCTTTTCTTGCATTAGGAAGTATCCTGGTAAATCAAAGGCATTATGTAGAGAAAGGCAGTACTTCACGGAATGGACATACCCACTGAGGAAAGTAACAGTAGTAATATAGTAACTATAGGACAAAACAAGTCCCACATTTAGAAATACCAGTGACATTTTCAAAAATAGAAATACATTTCCCCGGACTATGAAAATCCCCAAGTGATTCTTTGTTTCTAATTTTCACTTCACATTTCATGGAATCATAAAATATCTCAAATTGAAAGGGACCCAGAAGGATCATCAAGTCCAACTCCTGACTCCGCAGAAGACCACCCAAAAAGAAAGAAAAACACCACGTCTGAAAGCATTCTCCAATTGTTTCTTGAATACCAGCAGGCTTGGTTCCATGACCGCTTCCCTGGGGAGCCTATTCCAGTGCCTGACCACCCTCTTGGTGAAGAGCCTTTTCCTAACATCCAGCCTGAACAGCTGTCCCGTTACAGCTTCATGCTGTTCCCTCAGATCCTATCACTAGTCACCTAAGAGAAGAGACCAGCACCTCCCTTTCTGCTCACTCTTGTGAGAAAACTGTTGGCGGTGATGAGGTCTCCCCTCAGTCTCCTCTTCTTTAAGCTGAAGAGCCCAAGAGACCTCGGCCACTCCTCATACGTCTTCCCTTCTAGACCCATCACCATCTTCGTAACCCTCCTTTGGACACTCATAGTTTTATATCCTTCCTTTCCTTTATATTGTGGAACCCAAAACTGCCTACAGTACTTGAGGTGAGGCCACAACAGTGCAGTCATATAGGACAATTATTTCCCTCGACAGGCTAGCTATGGTGTGTGCGATGCATCCTGAGATACAGCTGGCCCTTTTCACACCTAGAACACACTGCTGGCTCATATTCAACTTGCCAGCAACTAGCACCTCCAAGTCACTTTCCGCAGTGCTACTCTCCAAACTCTCACCTCCACCTCAACACATATTTTCAGGATTACCCAGTCCCAGGTGCAGAATCCAGCACTTGGGTTTGCGAAGTTTCATACAGTCAGTGAATGCCCAGACCTCTCATTTGTTAAGATCTCTCTAAAATGCCTCTCCATCCTCAGGGGAGTCAGCTCCTAATTTAGCATCATCTTCGAACTTAACTGCAGTCCTGCATCCAGATCATTTACAAAAAACATTGAAGAGAACTGGCCCTAACACTGAAACCTGGGGGACCCCACTAGTGACTGGCAACCAGCCTGATGTAACCTCATTTGCTATAATCCTTTGCACATTGCTATTCTTAACTTCAGCACTACAAATGGGCTTGTATTCAACACTTCAGCTGTACTAAGCTTTGCTGTCCAGAAGCAGAAAGGGGTCTCTCTGCACTCAGGCAGGCCAAACCCCCACAGTGCAGTTTCCATTCACACATCTGAAGTTTTTAGGAAAGATTCGGTGTGGTGCAATGAGTTACATGGGGTTTCTTTGTGGCTTTAACTAACACGGCCCTACGCAAAAGGTTTAGTTGTCTCTAATAACACCTACAACACAGCTGCTGGGCAGACATAGGAAAGGCCACAAAAACGATGTACCACAGGACCCAGGCACTTCTACGTGCTGCCTCCACAGGGGCCTACCCCAAACTTCAGAGGAGCCCTTAGAAGCAGCAATAAGCCTGGAGTAGGCCTGGGCGCTCAGAGGCACACGTGCTCCAGAGCAGATTTTGGCTCTGTCTCAAGCCACGTTCACCAGCAGGTACAAACAGTGAGTCTAATATTAACAATAGCTTCAGGAAATGTTGGTCCTAGCCACAGCGTAAAGCCAAGATAACTAACGTACTGTCAGAAACACCAGGGTAGAAATTACTTAGACTGAAAGAATAAACTCAGGCTGGACTCCCAGGAAAATCTTTCTACCACTTAATTAGCAGAACTTACTGAGGGAAATAGCAGAAGAGTCCTTGTCCTCAGAGGCATTAGATGAAACATTTGAGAAATAAATTTGAATTGTAATTGCAATGCATCATTAGATACATGTATTTCAATCACTAACCGCAGAAGCTAGAGTCACAAATTCCCTTATATCCCCTATTTATAATCCTGCTGACATTTGCAATATGCTATGTCATATTGAATTGAAAGCTGTTGTCATAATTATAATTGATATTAAACCATAAATAAAAACAACAGCTGAACTCCAGCATTTTGTAGAAACATATCTAATGGCAAACAGAATTTATTATTTTCAAAAAATTTGCCTTGGCTTTTTTTTAATTTGAAAATATGGAGTGTTTCTGAAAACACTAAGATGTCTAGGAGGAAAAGTGTCACTACCATCATCACAGACAAGTCATGCACCCTAGAAGGTTCAAGCATTATGCCCAAAGATCTAAGAGGCCCTCACATGCACAGTCTCTTCCGCACTACGAATTAGCAACACCATGATCTCCACCAATATTCAGAGTTGCTACAGCTTCTCTGCTTTATAAATATGGATATACAAATAAAAGAATTCTCATTTTAGATTTTATCCACCCTTCTTACTTCCAGAGTTCTACTTCTGGGTAAAGTTTACACAAGTCTGCAGCTCTCTCTGAAAGGGACAGTTCTGCACAGTTTGCAGTTATGAAGAAATTTATGGATAAGCTTTCCAGAAAGTTTATTCTACATCTAGACCTCCTCCCCTTATTTCCTACCTCCCAAACACGTCTTTGCAAGCTTTGACACTTGCACTGTTCCAAAGCAAGACAACTGTCCCAAGAATACATTAAATACCAGTTTCTGAGCAGTGAACGTAGGTTTTGACATTAATTGATCAGTTAGGCAACCTGACTGCTGCATTTATAATGTAAATAATTCGTTTTCCTCTTCAATGTTTTGGAAACACAGCTTTTGCATCTGAATTAGAAAATGTGGATTCTTTGTTCCTGACTGTTTATTTCACTGTTAGATCTCCAAGGAGTTCAATTAAACAGTTCATTTATAAGATTCAGCACTCAAAGCTGTTTACACTAGAACTCTACATAAAGTGCTATGAAACCTAGAAGAGCTGAGGCCACGGTTTCTATGTCATCACCTGGTACAGCTTCTTCAATTCTCCACTAAGGAAAATACCAAAGAGAAAAAATAAAATAACCACACCAGAAAACAACCATGGGAGGGAAGTGAACAAGTAATACTCCTTTTTTCACAAGATGCAAGGCTGGAATCTAAATTGCATGTGACTGTTAGGGGGAAAAACTGGAACAATACAGTGCAGAACCACAGGTTACAAACTTTGAATTTTTGCCTGAGGAAGAGACTAACTGCGGCTGGTCTCAATTGTTAACATTATGAGATGTCTCTGAAAAGGAAAAACTCTTCTGCTTACCACACAAGGAAATCAAATATTTTTGGCCATGCTCTGCTCTCTATGGTATACAGAAATCCAGTGAAGTTGAAAGTTTATCCTGTACTTACATCAGTGTAACAGAGCAGACTGTGTAAAGATTTACATTGGCATCCTCAGCTCTGATGAATTTCAAATGCTCAACACTGAGCATTTTCATTATGTAGCAACACATGTATCATCATCAGGTTAAAAAAAAAACTCACAGCAAGTCTCTCAGAGCTATGCAAGACTCTTGAGGCATTCTACATTTTAAGAAAAAAAAAAAAAAAAAGTGGTTTAAACAAGAGACCCTCTCCAGATTTTGATTAAGCCACTACTGACGAAAGTAATCAACTGTTTTGTTGGTGGGTATTTTTGGTTGTATTTTGGTTTTTGTTTTCTCAAAACCAATACAGCAATTCCTCACTGACAGGGACTTAACAATGGATTATTACATGGATGGAAAATGCATTCACAATGTTATTCCCAAACGTTGCACTAGGTATTAATTACTGAATGAAGAACAGAAGCAACCAATTTCTTTAATTCCAAGCATGTAGACTCCAATAGTGACAATGGTTGATTCCTCAAGAAGGTAGTCACAAGACCTAGATCTTTAGAGAATGAAATAGATATTGTAAAATTAAACCTGCTCAAACCATCTTCAAGAAAAGGATATATATACTGATATACTATAAAGTATATATATATATATTTACTTTTGCTCAATACAAAAAAAAAAAAAAAAAAAAAAAAAAAACAACTACAACTTCTAGAAGAGTAGTTCCCTCCAAAGTTACTTAGGCAATGACTAAACTATCTTTATGAGGAAATACAATTTCACTTTA